CAAAAGACAGTAATCATGGCGGTGTATCTTTCCATGTTCTAGCGAAAGATTCACTCTCGTTTTGCACATTTCGAGAGTGATCAAGCGACCGAGAGAGAGAGAGAGAGAGAGAGAGGGGCGGCGAGTTTGCCGCAGCCCTTCGTGTAGGTCGCCGGCCCCCTCTCTCTCTCTCTCTCGGTGGCTCCACCACTCTCGAAATGTGCAAAACGAGAGTGAATCTTCTGCTATAACATGGAAAGATACACCGCCATGATTATTTTTGTGCATGTTGAGGTAGTAACTGTGCTTTTTCTTTTTTTCCATGTTTTTTTTTTTTTAATAATGGATTTCATCCCCTTTTTCTGTCGTATCTTTTTGCATTTTCTGATTTTATTTTTTTTTCCTCTTTTTTTTCTCGTGATTTTCTCCGAGTAGGTTTGGCAAGTTAGCGCCCGGTAGTTCGAGCCTCGGCAAGGCTCGGCATACCGGTCGGTCGAGGCTCGGACTTGATAGCTGGGCCAAGTACTGGTGGTTTAAGGATCGCGGCCTCCTACGGGCAGCTACCGGTCCTACGCGGTCCTAACCCTTGCAAGGCCCCAAAACATGAAAATGCCCACCCTCCGGACTACCACCGACGTTGAAATTTGAGTGACATTGAAATGTCTCAGAAGGGAAAACGCAACCCTGACGGGCTGCGAACAATGCAGCCAAAACAACTTGTCAGGGGAGGACGGAAGATTTGGCAAGCAGGCCAGGTTCGCAATGCGTATACACAAAAAAAAAACTGAGACAAAAAAAAACTCACAGTCGTCAACACAACGACACCGTAAAAAAAATACAGGCCCGTAGCCGTCGTCCCTTATGCAATGTCTACCACTAGATACATGAAGGAAGACGTGCCAACCTTGAGGACATACTCTCACCACCTTTTTTCAAAGAGCATCCGACTGCAATTACATCCACACCTGGAACTTGAAGCATCTGGCCTCAATCACGTTCATAAATAGCTAAAGAACTGTTTGTGTAAGTATGCCCTGACACCGCCAACGTCCCCTCACCTTCCTGCACCCAACGTCTACACAACCATATCTAACAGTCATCGTCCCGATGACACCAAAATGGTTTTTTCCGTCGAAAATAGGCAGATACGCGTCGTATCATTCGTCCTTTCTGCACGTCCGCAGCTAGATACATCAATCAACGAAAACATATGGGCCCGACACCTAAGAACTCATGTCACTTCAACTCAATCGACTCAATCATCCCCTCACCTTCTCGCGCCCAACGTCTACTATACAGCCGTATGTGACAGTCGTCGTCCCGACGATACCATAATGGTTATTCCCATCAAAATCAACCATATACACGCCCGTATCGGTCGTCCCTTATGCACGTCTACAACCAGATACATCAACGAAAATGTATGGGCCCGACACCTAAGAAACCACCTGCCCATCCCAATTTGCACATTCCTTCAGCCTCAATATAAAAATAAAAAAAAGGAGACCCCACACATCGCCCCCACAAGACAAGATGGTGTGTCCACAACACACCTAGACCAAAAATCGCAACACGATTCATCCAAGTACCCTGCATGAAGACCGACCCACCCCCAAATTCGCATCCACCCACCACCCATGTACCCCAACATCACCCCAGAAACCACCAAAGAACGAAAAAGACACCCAAAAAAAAAAGAAAAACCTTCCCTGAAACGGAAACGTCTGATCCCCGTCTAGCGACACAGAACAATGACCTCAACACCCGACCACCGGTCGTCCGCGCTCTAAGTTGTACAACGACCGCTCCCCCTACCAGTCTTACTCCCGACGCCGACCGTGACCTCATCCTTCCCCAACCCCCAAAACACCCTATTTCCTGACCTTTGTACCACATGGCATTTCTCGAAAAAGGCCACTTCGCAAAATGATAAACGACAACCGGCATAGACACAACCATCCTCGTTGCAAATTGGATGTGGCACAAACGAGTGTCGTAGGTAAATTTGTGTAGACATGTGTTGAGCACCACCCTCTGAGTCTTGAAGGTGAAAGACGAATGTCAGCGCATGTGGCTATTTCGTAGTCTTGGAATATATAGCGTTCCTGTAAAGCATTGCGCTACTAGCGTACTCACTGTCTAGAGACGGCATTGCTCTGCACTAGTTGGGAGGCGCAAGATTAGGTGCGTGGGGCGGACCGGTGCTTGAGTTGATGTTCGCAAGGTTCGGTTGTAGCCCTCAGTATGGGTAATGCGTTGTCTCCCTGTGAAATATTGCGGAGCAAAGCAATTCCGGTTTTTCGTACACCTCACAAACTTTAAGAAACCGGTTTTCCCTACACCTCATAAATTTCAAGAGACTAAGTGATTTCAACCTCAATGTGGAGATGAAGAAGGGAGAAAAATTCAAGTGTGTGGCAAACAACGCATCCAATAATTGAGCTTTCGGAGGTAGTGGGAAGGCACCCTCCGGTAGTGGGACTGTTGTTGGAGGACCACTTGCAAAGTACTATAGACTATTTGCACAGGGAGTGTGAAGGTATAAAGCTCCACTGAAGGCGTCCCACCATTGGAAGTGAAATATCTATTGGTAGAGGTGGGAGCGTTTCCGGTGGTGTGGAGGCCGTAGAGCATTGAATTGGTGATTGGATTTTCCAAGGCCCATCGATTTGGTGATAAAATTTTCTAAGGAGCATCGACATTTCCACAATATTATGTGTACACAAGCGTATTATACTTAACTATAGTTATGTGTTAAATAGTAAATACTTGAATACTAAAATTTTAACAACTTTATTGATAGTTAAATTCCTTATTCTTCCTCCTTCTAGCTACAACAGCTTTTCGACTTGCTTCTTTCAAAATATTGGGTGCTATTATCCGCTTAATTCCTTGTCTTAAACACTTTGCATTTGGACCCACTTTTGTTTCGGTTTGTTTCCTCTCCATTAGCTATCTACATTCTTTCATTAATCTGTAAAATTTTGTACCTTGCGGTACTCGTGGCATGATTCATCTATCTTTCCTTAGCTTGGTAAGTAAAGTCTCTTGTAACACAGTAGTTCCATACAAGCTAGGCTACCAGAGTGGCTCGGGACCACTTGC